TTTACCCCCCCCCCCCCCCCCCAGCCTCAGCAGCATAGCCCACGTGACAGCACAGGCTGCCTGACACGCATCAGGTCCGACCCGCTGCCGACTGCCAGCATCATCTAGGCAACTGATACCTTTGCATGTTGATTTTCTCCCCAGCATATGAACATACAAACGCTTAGTAAGCGTTGGTCATTCGACAGCAGTGCTGATTGAAATGTCCCACAGCTAGGCCTTCACTTTCGTTACTTCCCCGTACAACCGGAAGTCTTAGGGATTCCAGGTGTGTGAATCAGAATGCCACCTGCTGTGACTTCACTTGGCTGGCGGCCCCAGCCGGGGAGCTCGCCAGGCTTCACCAGGCTATCTGCCGTTTGCCTCCTAATACTGCTTAAGATATGTTACCGACGTCCGATTACGTAAAGGACTGCGCCGAATGGAAATCTTCGAGCAGCTGGCAACTCGACCCACCCAGCCTTCCCATTCAAACCCGTCCCTGCAGGTTTTACCTGAAAGTACCCGAGGGCTACCTGATTGGTTCAAACAAGGCGCTGCCTGGGATCGTGAGTGGTCGCGTGCGGCCGTCTTGGTGGGGCCACTTCAGTTGATGCACCACCCTGGAAGTGCTGCCCAGGCCTTGCAAAGATGCCGCCTGGTAGCCAGCCCGGACACCAGGAAATGCCAGCAGTATCCATGCGCCCGAGTTGCCTCCCCTGGCTGATGCATTGTAGGTTTATTGTAGGTTCCTGTGCCCTCGGCAGCATACGGCAAGCCGCCACTCGTATGCACACGTGACACACTACTTGGTGCAGATCCATGGCGGTCACTCTCAAGTTTGAAGGCCGGGAGGATGAGCTCTTTCCGCTCTTCAACGCAGCGGCCAACGAGGGTGGCCAACTGAGCATGAACGCAATCAGGCACTGCTACAAATTGGACTCGGTCAAGCTGAATGGCATGGTGGAGGGGGACGATCGCAGCGGCTTCACACAGCGGCGCTTCAAGGATGGTGAAGTGGTGGCTGTGTCGGGCAGACCTGCTGGAGGTGCGAGTTTTTGCAACGGCAGCATGCGTCTCTTCTGCCTGCTGCGCCCTTCTGCACGCCCGTTTCATCCTGGCTTTCGCCTGCGTCTTTGCAAATGGTCCACAGCAGCAGGTAAGGGGCTGAAAAGTTTGCGATGGAGCGTGTGGCGAGCTCACCCGCCCAAACCCCCATGCGCTGCTTGCAAAGACTCATCCAGCAGCTGTCTTACCCGTGAGAACTGCGTGCACCACCATTTGCATCGTGCCACCTACAACTGCCTAACCTCCACTGAGAGTTGACTCCATGCATCCAGTCAGCACGCAAACCGATTCAACACTTGGTGCTTGTGTGATGCAACAAGCAAGGCCACGGTGATTTGCCACGACCTGATCTCACCAGGATCATGTAGCACTATCACGACGCATGCATGTGCGCATCGATCACGCGCAACAAGCAGCTCGTCACTATCACAATGGCGCTGCTTGCATTGCTTCGGGCCTGCGGTCTTGCTTGACCCTCTGCCCCCCCTCTCCTGCCTTTCATGGGTCCCGCCTGGGCTTCCGCCAATCGTCCCACAGCAGCAACAGGTGAGTTGCGCATGGTCTTGCGACGGTGCTTGTGGCGATGCCGCCAACTGCCCCCTGCGCCACCCGGTACAGCGTGCCTGCGGTGCATCCGTGCAGGACTGCAGCAGCACATCAGGGGGAGTGCATGCACCACATCAGTAACATGTTGTCCGCACCAAATGGTCTGCAGCATCACTCTGAACGACCCCTGGTTGTATCACGCTGTCTTGTTGGACTTTTCGAGCCGCCCTTCTTGTCTTGACGACGCGCTCAGCTGCGGCGCCGCGGGCTGGGACGATCATCAATCCCGTTACGCCCTTCCGGCTCACCGCGCCCTGCCAGGGGCTTTGCTTACAGCCAGGGAGCTGCTGAGCCGGCCGCTGGGTGCAGTAGGGCCTCGCAGCAACACCTCCAGCGGCGCACTGCGGCACACTGAGCCGCATGCCGTCAGGCTGTGGCAGCAGATGGAGGGGCAGCAGCTCGACGCGCGCATCATGGCGTTTGTGGCAGCCGCTGATAACACTGACCGACGGTGAGGGCGATGCGGTCTGAACTTGTGACTCAAGATGTCCGCCCAACATTTTGGAAACGGGCGGTGGTTAGGGCGCCCTCCTGAGTGTTCCAGCGCCTACCACGGGCGCTGTTACCTGTGAGCCACCCTCACCAACTACTTCCTGCTTCAATGCCATGCGTGCAGACTGCCCGTCCCTGTGCAATACTTTGAGGTTGTGGTCGAGTCAGAGGCGGCGGCCTGCACGCTGCTGTATGATACCCTCAGCCCCCTGACGGAACTGCTGTACGGCCACGGCTGGATCTGGCGGCAGCACCCCAGCGCAAGCGAATTGCAGCAGGCCCTCGTCGGCACAGCGAACAGCATGCAGACAGGTTCTCAGGAGCCGCATCAGCACCAGCCAAACCAGGGCAGCAGGTCCAGCGGCCAGCTGCTCCTTGCGCCGTCGAGGCCAGGCAACCATAGTAAGGCTGCTCAGGCCCGACCTCATTTGATTCAAGTGGACTTTGCACTGGTCGCGCATTGGGGCAGCAGTCAGCAGCAGCATGAGGTGGCCAGGAGCAGGTGCGCTTGCATTGGCGCGATCAAGCGGCCTGCAGCACTGCTGTGCAGAAGCCTAGCTGACGAGTGGTGCGATGAGGCCGCAACTTGCCACCGGGAGGTGCGTTGCGTGCTGGCACATGTTTATCAGCAGATGGAGACTTTGCAGGTGCAGTACGCGTTTGTGTCCTGCTGGTTTCGGACGTGGCTAGTCTGGCGCCCGCCGCACGCCCCAACTACTCTGGAAGTGTCGCGAGCCTATGAGTACGATGGCATTGACCCAAGTGTGTATGCTGCGCTCGGCTGGCTCCAGCTGGAGGCAGTGTTGAACAGAGAACAAGGGCAGCAGCAGCACGCGCAGCAACAGGAGCAGCAGCATGAGCAGCAGCATGAGCACCAGCATGAGCAGCAGCATGAGCAGCAGCATGAGCAGCAACATGAGCAGCAGCATGAGCAGCAGCATGAGCAGCAGCATGAGCAGCAGCATGAGCAGCAGCATGAGCATGAGCAGCAGCAGCAGCAGCAGCAGCAGGCGCCACCACCTGCAGGGCCGAGCAGCGGGCGCGGCGTCGCATCATCAGCGGACGCCACCGCGCAGGCTCATTCTGCTGACCAGCGGCAGGGCGGTGCAAGGTGCGAGCATAACCCATCTGCCTGCAATAGCGAAAGCGGGTCGTCTGAGCGGCTGGTTGCTGCTGGAAACAATAGGAGTCGCATGTCTTAATCCAGGATTACTCCTTCTGTTGCAGTGCAGATGCCTGCTGCTCCTGCTGAACCCTGCATGCTGGCACTTGCGCCCATGACCTTCCTACGCTTGCATACATTATAGGCTTACACCACAAGTCCTCGCCCTCCCTGCTGCCTTGAATGGAGCCTTTTCTGCCCCATATACACCCCCATGTGTACTTGTGCACACGCACACACATACACGCACGCACGCACTTACACACACACTCTCTCTGTCACTCACACACACACACACACACACACACACACACACACACACACACACACCTACACGCACAGGGGTGGCGGTGAAATAACTGGCAGTGGCAGCGGTGGCAGCGACCGTGGCGGTCAGGCCCGGCAGGACAGCACCCCTGCCAGCGCTGCAGACGACACACGTGGCGCATTGCTGGTTTTTGGCCGCGTGCTGATGGAGGGCTATTCAGGGTTGGTGGTAGAGGGCACGTACGGGGGGCAGCCGGCCATCATAAAGCTGTACGGGCCAGACGACGAGGGCCTGGACGTGTGCCAGCAGGAAGTGGCAGCGTATGGCGCCCTGGCGGCCGTCCAGGGACGGCTGGTGCCCCGGATGCTTGGGTCCGGGCACGCAAGGGCGGGTGTGTGGTTTGTGGCACTGGAGGCGGTGCCGGGCGTCCCGCTGTCGCGGCTGAACCCGGTGCCGGCTGCCGCGGCGGCGGCCGCCGTCGCGGCCCTGCGGGAGCTCCACAGCGCTGTGCCGGGCTTTGTGCACGGAGACATCCGCCTGCCCAACATCCTCTTTGTCGAGGGCGGCAGGGACGCTGGAGGCAGCGACGGGTGGCTTGGCGGGGCCCCCAAAGCAGGGAGCCACTGCGTCATTGTGGACTTGGGGATGGCGCGGCTGGGCGCGGCCGAGGAGGACGTGCAGGCCGAGCAGGGGCTGTTGGAGCGCTTGCTGGGCGTCTGATGTGTTTTCGCCACCTGGTTGCTGGGCTCCCTGCTGTGCCGCACAATGGCCGGCACCGTGCAGCTGGTGTTGCGGCCTTTTGGGTGCCTCGGCTCTTGAGCAGTCCAGGGCGCCAGCCGCTGCGCTGCCCTTCGCGGGGCACTCAGTGCCTGCATGTGGCTCGTCGCGCAGCACGCAGCGCATTCGGCCCTTTTTGGCCGTGTCGTGCGCGCATTGAAACCAAGGCATTTACATTTTGCCAAGCGGGCAGCTTTTATGCGTCAAAAAGGACACGCCCATGTTGGACGTGCTAGCGCGTTGCCCGCCGCCACTTCAGCCACGGCCACCCCAGCCACCCCCCCCGGACAACCCTATCTAGCTAAATTAGAGGCTATCTATAACCACAGCTGAGCAGCAGGCGGCACAGCGCCTGCCAACCGCGGTGTGCATCACACACCCAGCCACCCCATGCCGCTGTCTATCTCCGCTCATGCGGCTTCCCTCTCAAGAGTCCGACGGACCGCCCTGTGGCGATCTCAGCAGCCCCATTCCTGCTGAACGTGACCACCTGGAGCGAAGCAAGCACACGTGTCCCCTTACACGAGGTTGTAACGCATGGACAGTGCTAAAGCACGAGGTTGTGTGCTTGAAGCCAAGCTTGCAGGAAGAGTGTACTGGTCTGTAGCATCCAAACACCTTGCGCGAGCGCAAAGCGCGCATGCAGCACGACGCCCAGTCGGCAGCACAGCCCGCAATCACGCCGAGAGACCGCCGTAAAACCACAAGGCCCCCGCTGTTGGGTCCTCCGGCGGCAATACCACCGGCTCGGGGGGCGCAGGCGCGCGTGGCGGGCGCAGCCGCTGGCGCAGGGTAGAGGCGAAGTCCTGGGGCAGGGCGCCGCTGCCGCCGGCCTCGTCCACCTCGTGCCAGAGCCAGCCGTGGCCCCGCTGCAGCGCCGACCGCAGCTCCCTCGCCCTCGCCGCCGCCCCCGCCGCGCTTGCGGCGTCGCCCCCCGCGCCGCCCGCGGCCCCGGACAGCGCCGCACGCAGCGCCTCGGGGCCTAGGGCGAGGCCGTCCGTCGCAGACACCAGCGCCGCAGCCGCGCGCTCCGGCGGCACGTCCGCGCGCTCCCACGCCGCCCGCCCCGCCCAGATCCCAGCCTCTGGCGCAGCGCCCGAGGCCGACGCCCCGGGCGCGGCGCCGGCTGCCCCGGCGGCCGTGTCGGACGCGCACAGCAGATCGCCGAGCACGCCCCCTGCGGCCCGCAGCTCCTGGTGCCCCGCCGGCCGCGGCAGGAGCATCTCCGGCTCCCACCCCTGCAACGCCAGCGCGCGCACCAGCGCCACAGCGGCGGCGCGAGCGGCCCCCTCCGCAGCTCCCTCTGCCCCCTCGCCCTCGCCGAGCGCGGCGGCCGTCGCGTCCGCCGCGGCGCGCAGGCGGCCGGGGTCGATCGGCGCCCGGCCAGTCGCCAGCGCGCGCGCCCCCAGGGGCAGCACAAAAGCGTCGTCGCCGTCAAAGGCGGCTCCCTCCCCCCACTCGTCCGCGGGCGAGGGGGGCGGCTCACTCAGCAGCGTGGCGGCCTGGCGGTCGCGCGCGTGGTCCGACTCTGACAGGCCGTCTGGATGGTCTGCAGGCGTGGGGATCTGTACACCGTGTGGAGTGCATGGGGTTACGATGAGGGTCAAAGCGAGTCGGTGGAGGGCGTCAACGATCCAGGGCTTCCCATTGGAGGCTCGACAACCTCAACAAGCAGTACACTGGCAGTGTCGACCCTCACCGCACCGGCAAGCAGCCTCTGACCCACCCAAACAACAACACCGCGGCGCACCTCCCCCCCACACATGCAGCCAGACACGTCCTTCAAGGAACCCCACGCACTCCCAGCCCCTCCCCGTCCAAACTGATCCCCCCCCTCATCCCACCTGCAGGAGCAGCTCCTCAACATCGCGGTACGTCTGCAGCCGCAGCCTGAATCCCACATCACGCACCCCCGCTCCCGTGCTGCTACCCCCACCACGGACGGGCTCTGGCAGCAGCGCGACGAGGGCGCGCTGAGTCAGCAACAGCAGCGGCGGGTGGGGGCGGCCGGCGGCGTCTGCCAGGGGTGCGTCGACATGGCGCATCTTGTGCCTGTTTGGAGAGGGGGTGAGGGGATAGGGTGGGCTGGGGTTCCTGCTTGGAGAGGGGTGTGCGCGGTAGCAGCGCGCATGTGCGGTTGCTCCGTGTTGCTGCTAAACGTGTCTCTGCAGGCGGGCACCAAAACTAGGTGGTATGTGCATCTGCTTCCCGCGGGTCAGCTGGGATGCGGGGCGTTGCCGGCCCCAGACCCTTTCGTGGCACCCCAGGGCCCGGCCGATTACCAAGTGCTTGCCGGCCCGCTGTGCCGACCCCCCTCTAGCCCCAAGCCGCCCGCAGGCTGCCCGCACTCCTGTCCAGGGTCATTCCCCCAGAGCCCACCTCGTCAGCACCTCCCTCACGCAATCCTCCACCCCCTTGGCCGCAGCCTCCAGATCACCAGCCCCCACAACTGCTAGGTCAAACCACCGCGACGCAGCGCCCACATCAGCGCCTGACTCTGGCGCCGCCGCGCTGTCAGCGGCTGCGCCGCCGCCGCTGCCGGTACGGTGTGCTGCGTCGAGTGCCGGCGG